CCCCAAAACCCCAAAACCCCATCTTCCTAAATTTAAGATTAAATAGTCAATAGTTAAATAAATAAAGTTAAAACAATGCAGGTTCTTAAACATAAGGGCATAACTTAGAGGATGGGGGAAACTGATTATAGATTCTTTCAAGACTGCATAGATGTTATTTAGTTAGAGAGAAAAGATAAGACTACTACTACTGGGTAGAATAAGGTTAATGAAACCTTGTGCAAATTAGTAAAATCCCATACTGACGTATTTAATTTGCTGTTTCTTCATAAGCCAATCGAAATATGCTAGAGAATCTCACTCTTGACTTTGTAAAGTGATCAATCTTTGAATCTTGAAGAGGATAGCCTATATATTCTACTCAAGGGGAAAATTAAACTTGACTGAGACTCTGAAATTGTAAATTAAATGCTAATGCAAACAATTGACAGACAAAAATCGATTAAATTTAAGGGTTCATCTACATTTATAACAACTGATTTAAAAAGTCCTTCCCCTGCTAGAGTTCCTTAAATTGTTTTGAAAAAAGATGATAGAGGTAGATTCAAATCTCAAAGAGGAAAATCACTGCATGATAAATTCAACTTTAATCACGTTGTTGAGTAAAAAATAATAAAGTACAGCAGCTTCAATAACTATGATTTATTGAGGAAAATGAAACAGACAGATAACCTATACTTGAATTAGATTTATAATTAACTAATCAGAAAAGAAAAAGAACTACTGAGTGGTTTAATCTACAGTGATGAATAACTTACTTCAATCTAGAATTCTTAGTTAGAGCCTGGATTTACTATTAATTAAAGTGCATTATTTCAAGATTTCATGCCATATTTAAGAGAGTTTATGATAAGAGCTGTGGAAGGAGAAGCAATTTTCGCACGCCTTCACAGATCAGACTTAGAACATGCACTTAGAGAAAAAGATCATAGCAAGTAAGAATAACTGTCAGATTTTATTAATGAACTCCAACCTTTTCAATCGTGGACTAGAAATAGAGTAAGAAAATTGATATAACTGCATCTGAAATATGAAAAAGTCCAAAAGGGTTGGGACTTTCAGAAGGAAGTGGATGATCAAAAGTTGAATAAACTGTATCTTATTCTAAATGGGGAGTTCTAATTTACAACTATTGATGAAGATCTTAATAAGCCAAAAATAAAACCGTTAAATATTAAGAAATTATTATTCAATCGCAAGAGAGCAAGTTTAGATGATAGATGACTGATGGTTTAGCAATAAGAGCTTAATTTACAGAATCAAAATATCGTATCCAAGAAAAAATTGCCTCAAGCATTCAGACTACTGTAAAAAGGTCACTTTTTTAATGAGGAAAATCTAATTCTATAATGTCAGTAATTGGACAATTTTAACTAATACCCTAAAAGTAAAAAAGACTCAAAAGAACATCTAACAACAAAGTATTAGATTTAGTGTAAGTCCATAGAGGGTGAATTTCTGACTATAAACATTCAAGATCTAATTAAATCATTGCTAAAAGAGGATGATCTCGAGAGAGTGCTAGAAAGGTAATTCAAAATTAAGACTAACTGGCATGATGATGAAGACTAAATGCTGGAGACCTTTGATGATGAAGATAAAAAAGAAAAGTTTTAACCCTTGAATACTAAAGCCAGTGATAATGTCATGCAAGTATTTAGAAAGTAGTAGATTGAATTTAAGCCATTCTCAACCACAGATAATTATTGCAAAAATCAAAAATCGACTGATGAACAATTTTAAGATGAAGCAGCATTCAGAAGCTTATTGCTGAATAAAAGAGAAGCAGACTATAGAGAGACACTTAAAGAAGTCATCAATCAGTATCCGATAGTCGATCTTCATAAAAAGGTACTGTTAATGACTTAAGAAAATATAGTGAGCCAATAATCTTCTCCAGTTCGGATGAATAAGAGAAATCTATATATTAATTCTAAGATTGATAATGAAATTGAGAGCCATTTGAATATCAAGTCTTAAAAAGAGTAGGTATTTTAAAAATAGTCAGTGATAGGCGGAGTTCTATCTCCATAAAATATGTTTAAATAAAGACATCAATCAAAAGATCAATCCACTGAGAGCCAAAGCAAGAATTTCCTATATCAAAATGGTTCACAATTAATGTCGATCGCACAAACAATCAATAGAAGTAAATCACCATAAAAGTCAGTAATTTCACAGAGCAAAGATGTTTTAAATTAGTTTAATGCGTCGCCTAACTTTAGATTACCGATAGCTGCAAAGAGAGGGTCTTTGCAGATAAAGCAATAGTCATATATATCCTATAATCACAACAACAACATGATACCTAATCGCATTTTAATGAATCAAAGCATAATGATGAGTTAGAATCCAAATCACAGTTAGCTTTATTCTCCCAACTCAAGTCAAACTCACAGTAGTTAAATAAATTATCAAAACTAAAACCTAAAAAATATTATTGCAAGAGATGTAATGAAGTAAAACGGGCTAAGGAATAATAAATTCAGTAATATGAGTTTGGGATCTTGCCTTAACAATGCCTATATTAACAGTAACTTCAAGGATTAGTTTTAAATTGCTCCATTCGCTGAGAAGTCTTTTATTGGTAGAAATAATACTAAAAATTATACCTAGATAGATATTTAAAATGCCAGAAGATGATTCAATAATCATGAAACATGCAATTGACTTAGTCAGACCAATCAATTCATTTAAGTTAACTATTTAATCTTAATTTAATCATAATCATTAAACAGCATAAATCATTTAAAATATATTGATTAGTTATAAAATAACCGAGATAGCTACATATTACAGACAAAGGGGTTTTGGGGTTTTGGGGTTTTGGGG